TGCTGCTGCGTGCTACTGCTGCTCTACTGCGTGCTACTGCTGCTACTGCGTGCTCCGCGGCTACTGCGTGCTACTGCGTGCTCTGCGGGGCTGCCTGGCGTGCTACTGCGTGCTACTGCGTGCTACGGGCGTGCTACTGCGTGCTGCTGCGTGCTACGCGTGCTCTGCGTGCTACTGCTGCTCTGCGTGAGCCTACTGCGTGCTACTGCGTGCTACTGCGTGCTGCTGCGTGCTACTGCGTGCTGCTGCGTGCTCCCTGCGTGCTACTGCGTCTATTTGCGTGCTGCTGCGTGCTACTGCGTGCTACTGACGTGCACTGCGTGCTCTGCGTGCTACTGCGTGCTCCCTGCTGCGTGCTGCTGCGTGCTACTGCGTGCTACTGCGTGCTACCGTGCTACTGCGTGCTGCTGCGTGCTACTGCGTGCTACTGCGTGTTTCCCTGCGTGCTGCTAGCGTGCTACGCTCTGCTCTGGCGTGCTACTGCGTGCTACTGCTGCTGCCTTACTGCGTGCTACTGCGTGCTATTTGCGGTGCTACTGCGTGCTACTGTCCCTGCGGCTACTGCGTGCTGCTGCGTGCTACTGCGTGCTGCGGGCGTGCTATTTGCGTGCCCTTATTTGGGGTCTGGGCTGCGCTGCTACTGCGTGCTGCTGCGTGCTACTGCGTGCTACGCGTGCTACTGCTGCTGCTGCGTGCTACTGCGTGCTGCTGCGTGCACTGCGGCTACTGCGTGCTGCTGCGTGCTACTGCGTGCTGCTGCTGCTACTGCGTGCTACTGCTTTGCTACTGCGTGCTGCTGCGTGTTACTGCGTGCTGCTGCGTGCTACTGCGTGCTACTGCGTGCTACTGCGTGCTGCTGCGTGCTACTGCGTGCTGCTGCGTGCTACTGCGTGCTACTGCGTGCTGCTGCGTGCTACATGCGTGCTGCTGCGTGCTACTGCGTGCAAACTGCGTGCTGCTGCGGTGCTACTGCGGGGCTGCTGCGTGCTACTGCGTGCTACTGCGTGCTACTGCGTGCTACTGCGTGCTGCTGCGTGCAAACTGCGTGCTGCTGCGTGCTACTGCTCTGCTGGCGTGCTACTGCGTGCTACTGCGTGCTACTGCGTGCTACTGCGTGCTGCTGCGTGCTACTGCGTGCTACTGCGTGCTACTGCGTGCTACTGCGTGCTGCTGCGTGCTACTGCGTGCTGCTGCGTGCTACTGCGTGCTACTGCGTGCTACTGCGTGCTGCTGCGTGCTGCTGCGTGCTACTGCGTGCTGCTGCGTGCTACTGCGTGCTACTGCGTGCTACTGCGTGCTGCTGCGTGCTACTGCGTGCTACTGCGTGCTACTGCTTGCTGCTGCGTGATACTGCGTGCTGCTGCGTGCTGCTGCGTACTACTTGCGTGCTACTGCGTGCTGCGCGTGCTGCTGCGTGCTACTGCGTGCTACTGAAATGCTGCTGCGTTTACTGCGTGCTCCCTGCGTGCTACTGCGTGCTGCTAGCGTGCTACTGCTGGTGCTGTTGCGTGCTACTGCGTGCTGCTGCGTGCTACTGCGTGCTACTGCGTGCTACTGCGTGCTGCTGCGTGCTACTGCGTGCTGTTGCGTGCTACTGCGTGCTACTGCGTGCTGTTGCGTGTTACTATATGCTACTGCGTGCTGTTGAGGGCTACTGCGTGCTACTACGTGCTGCTGCGTGCTGTTGCGTGCTACTGCGTGCTGCTGCGTGCTATTGCGTGCTACTGCGTGCTACTGCGTGCTGCTGCGTGCTGCTGCGTATTGCTGCGTGCTACTGCTTGCTACTGCTTGGTAATGCTTGCTGCTGCGTGCTACTGCGTGCTACTGCGTGCTACTGCGTGCTGCTGCGTGCTACTGCTACCATCATTCCAGCCTCCCCAGCAGATCTGTCCCAGCCGTTCCTCAGAGTACACAATCCAACGTCAGAGTTGTGTGAAGCGCAGATCCCCGTTGTTGATTGTTGTTTGACATCAGCGCATTATCTCCGTTACCTGGGGGAGAGGATAGAGGGATGGGGATGATAGAGGGATGGTTAGGAGAGGGGGAGGGGAGAGGATAAGAGACAGGGCTGAAGTTTTTTGGAAATGTGGGTAGTAAGAGTCGTGGGAAATATGGAGTATGAGTGGATCATTAAAGGCATTGAAGTGTGTTCCGCAGTGTGTTCCGCAGTGTGTTCCGCAGTGTGTTCCGCAGTGTGTTCCGCAGTGTGTTCAGCAGTGTGTTCAACAGGGTGTTCTGCAATGTCTTCAGCAGTGTTCAGCAGTGTGTTCCGCAGTATGTTCCGCAGTGTGTTCCGCAGTGTGTTCCGCAGTGTGTTCCGCAGTGTGTTCCGCAGTGTGTTCCGCAGTGTGTTCCGCAGTGCGTTCAGTAGTGTGTTCAGCAGTGTGTTCAGCAGTGTGTTCAGCAGTGTGTTCAGCGGTGTGTTCAGCAGTGTGTTCTGCAATGTCTTCAGCAGTGTTCAGCAGTGTGGTTAGTAGTGTGTTCAGCAGTGTGTTCTGCAATGTCTTCAGCAGTGTTCAGCAGTGTGTTCAGTAGTGTGTTCAGCAGTGTGTTCTGCAATGTCTTCAGCAGTGTTCAGCAGTGTGTCCGCAGTGTGTTCAACAGGGTGTTCCGCAATGTCTTCAGCAGTGTTCAGTAGTGTGTTCAGCAGTGTGTTCAGCAGTGTGTTCAGCAGTGTGTTCAGCAGTGTGTTCAGCAGTGTGTTCAGCAGTGTGTTCAGTGTATCCTATGGAACATGTGATACATTTAATTGAACAAAACGAGAATCAGAGCCACAATACTGTGATTGGAAAAATTTAAATCTAACCCATAATTCGGAGAAGTAACTTTAGACGTTGTTTCGCTCCGTTCTGAGCCATTATCAGATCGCCATTGTAAGGGACATAAACGCGCACATGTAAGTGTTACATGGCTGTGTTTGTGAATACGTACACATGGAATTTAAAAAAAAGATAAATATTGGAAATCTTTGGGACTTATTATTATTTTAATTAATGGTAAACGCTAAATACGTAAGAGTCATACAGCGTGTGAGGGGAAAATCAAATTCCCTGAATCAAGAGCCCATCACCGGCATCAGTATCACAGTTTTTTATAGATAATATACCTGATATCTGGTATATTCAATATTCGCATGAATACCCTAAAAAAAATACCTGCTATCTGGTATATTTAAGTGGCTTAATGAAGAATAAAATAATTTAGTAGATCACTTAAAATTCCTGGCGATCACCCCCCCAGTGTTCAGTGGTCAGTCGTCACGTGAGGTCACAGACCCTGAGCTGCTTGGGGATTAGCGTGGACGGTTACAAAGCATGGCTTGCTTCTACAGTGTTTTAAAAGCTGAGGTTGGAGAGTTGAAGGAGGAGGTCTTGCTTCTCCAGGAGGAGATTAGGAGGCTGAAGGTCCACCTCAATGGGCCTGGGAGAGAGTGTGAGGTGGTTGGAGATGTGGGGAATGAGGCTTCTAGCAGTGAGGTGCAGTCTGTCTCTCACTGTGAGGAGGCTGTTGGTGGGGTGTAGCAACGGCTACCAGCAGTGAGGTGCAGCCCAGCACCTGCTACAAGTGGCGAATTGGGTTTACAGTAATGGGGGGCGCATCAGAGTAAGGAAAGTTAAGAGTGCAGATCTGAAGGTAGGAAATCGCTTCTCTGTTTTCCAGGATGAAAGTACTTCATGGCCAGTGAAGGTAAGGTACTACTGCCCCTGCAATGAAGGTAAGCGCATTCTTTTGGTTGGTGACTCTCAGGTAAGATATGTTGATCGTGCTTTTTGTAATAGGAATAAGAAGATGAGAGATAGAGTGTGCTTCCCTGGAGCTGGTGTTGGGACATTGTCAACAACTGGAAATATCATGTCAGGTTAAAAGGAACAAGCCCATTATCTGTCTCAGTGCTGTGGAAATGATATTGGGAAGGGTAGGAGAGAAAGCTGCTAATAAGTACAGGTCAGCTATAGATTTTATTAAGTCTAAGGGGGGGATCCCAATCATATGTAGCATCTTGCCTAGAAGGGGAGTAGGAAATTTAATGGGTTTTCTAGGGGAATTGGTGTAAATTGCTGGCTAGACAGATACTGCAAGGAACTTGCAATCCCATTCATTGACAACTGGAACAACTTTATGGCAAAACATGATATGTATGCAAGGGATGGTTCTCTCTCTCTGGGCAGGGGTGGTAGCACTTGCAGACTCGATTGAGAAGGCCATTGGTGAAATGCCTATGATTTTAAACTGATGGGAAAATAGAGGTATGGGTGTGTGTGGGAAACAAGCAGGTTGCAACACTAGGTTTGGAAACAGTAAAAAGTATAAAAGGCATTCAGCATGAAGTTATAAATAAAGACAATAGAACAGGTCAGCAAACAAAGGGGACAGCAGAGGGCAGCAAGGGACTAGCTCCCTTAAGGTTTTCTATACTAATAGCAGGAGTGTTAGAAATAAGATAGATAGCTAAGATTAATTGCAAGTGCAGGAAACTTTGATATTATTGCTATAACAGAGACCTGGCTCAATCTGAAAGATAGAGAGATGCCCTCTGAATGTCCACATACAAGGCTATAAATTATTCCACACTGACAGGGTCAACGGAAAGGTGGTGGAGTAGCGATGTATGTCAGAGACAATTTTAAATTGTTGTGTTAGACAAGATATTAAATTAGAAGCGTCAGCCACTGAATCTGTTTGGTTACAGCTTCTCGAGGGCCGAGAAAAACTAATTTTGGGGTGTGATTTACAGGGCCCCAAATCTTGATAGGGAGTGCAGTAAACTTCTATGGGACGAAATTCGTAAGGCATCTACATACGAAAATGTTGTGCTAATGGGAGATTTCAACTATAGACAGATTGACTGGAGCAATTTGACAGGAAATTAGAGTCGGGTGACTTTCTTGATACGATCCAGGATTGTTTTTTAAACAGTTTGTGACAGAGCCAACTAGGGGAAATAACCTCCTTGACTTGTTCTTGCCAGTAGGGAAACACTAATTAATAATCTTGAGGTTAATGATGAGCTTGGGGAGAGTGATCACAAATCACTCAGTTTTAACATATCATGGAATTCCCCTAATTTAAAGGCAATCAAGTCTCCGTCCCTGACTTTCGCTTGGCTGATTTCATAGGACTGAAAAATTACTTAGGTGGGCTGAACTGGAATGACCTGACTAGGGTCAGGTAGGTGGTGATGGTTGCCGATATGATGCTTTCCAGGGCATAGTTCTAGCTGCTCAGTCAAATTATGTTCCAAATTAGGGAAATCAGATCAAACAAAAATGATCCTAAATGGATGAACAATAGATTAAAATATCTGATTGGTCAAAAGAGAGGCATATATAGGCAAATCAAAAGAGGAGAGGGGCAATTAAGAAATCGATATATTCAGTTAAAGAGAGAAATAAAAAAGGGAATTAGAAAAGCAAATAGAGATTATGAGGTTAAAGTTGCAAGAGAATCGAAGACTAACCCCAAAAGGATTCTTTCAGGTATACAGAAGTAAGATCAGGGACAAGATAGGCCCACTCAAAAGTTCCTCGGGTCAGCTCACTGACAGTGATAAGGAAATGTGTAGAATTTTTTAACACATACTTCCTCTCAGTTTTTACACAGGAGGATACCAGCGATATTCCAGTAATGATAAATTATGTAGAACAGGACGATAATAAACTGTGCACTATTAGGGTCACAAGTGACATGGTCCTTAGGCAAATAGATAAATTAAAACCTAACAAATCCCCAGGCCCTGATGAACTGTATGCAAGGGTTCTAAAGGAATGTAAAGAGGAGCTTAGCACACCTTTGGCTAATCTTTTCAACATATCACTACAAACTGGCATGGTGCCAGATAAGTGGAAAATGGCAAATGTGATACCTATTTTCAAAACAGGTGACAGGTCCTTAGCTTCGAACTATAGACCAATAAGCCTAACCTCCATAGTGGGAAAATTTATGGAATCAATAATTGCCGAGGCAGTTCGTAGCCACCTTGAAAAGCATAAATTAATCAACGAATCTCAGCATGGTTTTACAAAGGGGCGTTCCTGCCTTAAACGAATTTATTAACTTTTTTCACTAAGGAAATTTGAGGAGGTAGATCATGGTAATGAATATGATATTGTGAAATATGGACTTCAGTAAGGCTTTTGACAGGGTCCCACATCAGAGACTATTGAGGAAAATTAAAGCACATGGAATAGGAGGAGAAATTTTTTCCTGGATAGAGGCATGGTTGACAAATAGGCAGCAGAGAGTTTGCATAAATGGGGAGAAATCAGAGTGGGGAAGCGTCACGAGCGGTGTTCCACAGGGTCAGTGTTGGGCCCCCTGCTGTTCACAATCTACATAAACGACATAGATGAGGGCATAAAGAGCGACATCGGCAAGTTTGCCGATGACACCAAAATAGGCCGTCGAATTCATTCTGACGAGGACATTCGAGCACTCCAGGAAGATTTGAATAGACTGATGCAGTGGTCGGAGAAGTGGCAGATGCAGTTTAATATAGACAATGCAAAGTTCTAAATGTTGGACAGGACAATAACCATGCCACATATAAACTAAATATGTAGATCTTAATATACGGATTGCGAAAAAGATTTAGGAGTTCGGGTTAGCAGTAATCTGAAACCAAGACAACAGTGCATAAGTGTTCGCAATAAAGCTAATAGAATCCTTGGCTTCATATCAAGAAGCATAAATAATAGGAGTCCTCAGGTTGTTCTTCAACTCTATACATCCTTGGTTAGGCCTCATTTAGTTTATGCTGCACAGTTTTGGTCACCGTATTACAGAATGGATATAAATTCTCTGGAAAATGTACAAAGGAGGATGACAAAGATGATCCCATGTATCAGAAACCTTCCCTATGAGGATAGACTAAGGGCCCTGAAACTGCACTCTCTAGAAAGACGTAGAATTAGGGGGATATGATTGAGGTTTATAAGTGGAAGACAGGAATAAATAAAGGGATGTAAATAGTGTGCTGAAAATATATCTAGCCTAGACAGGACTCGCAGCAATGGTTTTAAGTTGGAAAAATTCAGATTCAGGAGGGATATAGGGAAAATACTGGTTTGGTAATAGAGTTGGGGGATGAGTGGAACAAACTCCCAAGTACAGTTATAGAGGCCAGAACGTTGTGTAGCTTTAAAAATAGGTTGGATAAATACAGAGTAGATGTGGGTGGGTGTGAGTTGGACCTGATAGCTTGTGCTAACAGGTCGGTTGCCGTGTTCCTCCCTTAAGTCAATGTGACCTGACCTGACTAGGTTGGGTGCATTGGCTTAAGCCGGTAGGGACTTGGACCTGCCTCGCATGGGCCAGTAGGCCTTCTGCAGTGTTCCTTCGTTCTTATGTTCTTATGTTCTAGACCAGGCTCGGAAATGGGAAAGAAATATTACAAGACTGAGAACAAGAGAAGAGATCAAGAAAAATAACGATAAATGTACTTATCAGCACCTACGTCTCTATCACTGGAAAGCACTAAGCCCGATGGGGCTTCGACGCCTGTGAGGGGCTCTTCATCCAAGGAACTGCAGCTTTCCTCCACTTCTTTAGATTAAACCTGATCACCTCCCACGTCTTCAGAGAGGACTCCCCCATGAAGTTTACTGCTTCTCACACCGCTTCCTCCTGGGGAAAAA